GACAGCCCGAGAAACTTGGACTTTGTCCAAATGTATCCATCCAATGAAATCCGTTTATTGTAGTGTTCCGCATAGAATGCTGAAACTGAGAACAACACCGAAGATGATGAATCATTTTTTCACGAAAGTAATAATCTTTGAAAAGGGGGAAAAGCATGTGCCGTGTGAATCCCTCACTCCAACAAATTATTCTAATCAGCTGTGTCAATATTTTGCACGATTAAAAAAATGAATTCTATCATTATTGAGTTTACTAGACTACAACACAGCAGATATGCAACAGAAACACAAGACGATATTTTTGAGTTTTGTCATAGACTTCAATAGTAAATACTATCAGAATATGTTTTTGTATAATTTTCAGTACTTCTGCGTATGACTACACAGTGGACCACATCTGCACTGCATGATTAAAAAAATATCAGAACATTTGATAATTTCGGTAATGTTAGTGTATAGCAATACAGGCAAACAAAACAATTTGATATGATATACAAGAAAGAACCGCGATCACTACGATACGATAAGATATGATATATGGTTGCAGCCCCAAGAGACACAAACACGATCCTGTACTTACTAGGCGGGTGATGGGACACCTGTTCTGATATGAATGCTAAGTTTTCTTTAGATGACCAAGGAACTGGACCATCGTCTGCTAGGTCCTGTCAACAGATCAAAGGCAGTGTGTATTTTATATTTATTCAGCAAGAATGGGATTTATAGCTACAGCGATATTTCAATCTGTCAATCAGGTACACCTGCACTGCTTTTTAGACCTCCGAGTAAACCAGTTCTACCCGGGAAACAGATATGATGGACATGTTGGATAAAGGATATTTCAGTACAGGGACATTCTACTGAAGGAGCCATTCGGACTGATATGTCTCGCCTATTCCCCGCTTTGACCATCAATGCACATATCAGAAAAACTAACTTAAACGCAAAAACTTAATGTTGATTGAGATGCTGACAAAGTCGATGGACCATGAAAGGTAGGCTGCATCCAGGATTTGATGCATGGGTCGAGATGTACTACTTCAGATGCAGCTATGGTCCAAGTTTGGTTGGATAGCACTTATACCTTTAGAGAAACTAACTTAAATGCAAAAACTTAATGTTGATTGAGATGCTGACAAAGTCGATGGACCATGAAAGGTAGGCTGCATCCAGTATTTGATGCATGGGTCAAGATATATTACTAAAGATGCAGCTACGGTCCAAGTTTGGTTGATCTAGCACTTATACTTTCGCCGGAAAAGCAACACCTAAGACAACAAGAGCTGTTGGAGAACAGCATAGCTCGCCTATTGGTGATTTATATTGTAAAATAGCAAATATCAATAGAAACCAATGTAGAGTAAAACCTTGATATAATGCATGCCCGTCATTTCATTTGCCACCTTACTTACCGCCAACATATTTTCAGGTCCCTTAGTTATGTTTTACTTAAGAATTCCTTGTACGTTTATAACACCAACATTTCTTTGAACAAATGATGGCAATATAACAAGGTTTTGCTGTACCTTAACATGTAAGAAGAGATGACCAGCCAACGTGAAATAGTCAACAGCGTATTGATCATGGTGGCCGGTCCAATACTGCACAAAAAAACTTGCCCAAAAACTTTAACCAAGTCCAACCAACCAGTTTTGGCCCCTTAAATAACCAAAATACAATTCAGAACATTGGTTATACTCCAACTTTATAATAGGTAGGCATAAGCCTATTGATTGTGATGATCCGACACTACGCAAAAAAACTTGCCCAAAAACTTTAACCATGTCCAATTAAGCTGTTTTTGGCCCCTAAAATATGAAAATATGGTTCAGCAAATTGCTTACACTCCATATAAATACTTCAACCTTATTATAGACAACAGTCTATTGATGGTGGTGATCCAACACTGCCTGGAAAAAACTTGACTTCATTAGCCCCCCCCCCCCCCTCCNGACAAAGTCAATGGAACCTCAACCACAATGTCCAGATATCTGACATTGATTTACATGGCTCGCAAGTGGGTCCTTCTGTTTATGAACTACCTTTTTCTGACTATGCCTCTGGATTTCACACCAAAATATTTCCTTTTTTTATAGAAAGAAAAAGATTTATTCATTACACAGAATAGTGTCACATCATAACTGTAACCAAAAGAATTTCACATCAAAACTATTAACAAAAGAATTTCCCAATGAAACTGTAAATAGCTTTGATTTCAACCAATATTATTTCGAATTACATTAATTTTTCAAATCATTTCTATCTCATTCAACAATATTTTTTCAAATCTTGATGAAACAAAACAAAACGAGGCCATTATGATTGACTTTCCATCTATATTTTACACATAACTACCGTAGTTTTTGGCCAGTCTGGCATGTTCCAGTGACACAGGAATGTCTCTCCCAGAATAGGGTTGTAAGGTTTCTTTGCTACGTCGCTGTTACGGCCAGCGTGGAAGGCTGACAGATACCAGCGGACCAACTGTATCATTCTCTCCCCAGGCGTGTCCATGTCAGGAATTCTAGTAACAAAAATGTTGAACGTAGTAAATATGAGATAGGGTGTCCATGTTTGGGTCTCTAGTAACCATGCCAGGTGTGATTAACTTGTGCATGTACAATACGTCGTTTCCGAGATAAAAAAAAATCCGGTTATCAGACAAGCAAGCACAAGTCAGTAGTTATCCCTATGATGAAAGATGTGAAATTTTGACCATTTCCATGAAAATTTATTATTCTTACACTGCAATGAATTAGGTTTACTACTGTTCACATTCATACATGCCCCCGCTAAATGTACCACGTGACCAACAAATCATGTGACTTTTGTTCTGGAAATTTGTATCTCGGAAACCATGCATTGTATTATCGTACATCCCTGGATCGGTCATAACGTAAGTTGTCAGTTATTTAACCTCAGTTGTCAGTTATATTGTCAGTTATAACCTCAGTTGTCAGTTATAACCTAAGTGGTCAGTTAGACTGCTAATCGCTAATCATAGTGCTAAACAGCTAGCTCACTCTCTTTTGACACACGATATAGAATGTGTTGTTCTTCAGGAGAATGACACAGAGGAAAAAGGAAAGACTATTTTATCACCACCTGAATATATATATATAGCAGATACTGTATACTGGCAATTTTTCGCCACAGTTTCACTTCTGCCTTTTTTGCCCTCTGTAATGAGGGCGAATTTATCACGATAGTGAAAATAAGCACACAACACACTATACATAGTGATAAAATGAGAAGGGCAAAAAGAACAATGCATGAAAACAGATTATACCGGTGAAGGGCGGAAATTTGACTGGGTTGAATATTTCCGGATTAACCAGTATTTCGTTTGCTTATAAAACAAGAAACATTTTTGAGATGACACTAAAAATATAGTATTCTTCAAATTGTGTGCAATACTTAAAGAGGTATACCATATGAATTTAAAAAGTAAGTCAATTGAAAATATGACCAAATGTTAATTAAGTACATACTTGATAAACAGATCTGGGTGAGCGAAGAAGTCCGCGTACATCTCGAGTAGTGACCGCCTCTCCAGAATGAATGTCGGCAACACAACCTTGGTAAGATCCATCCCAATTCTCACTTGTGATAACAGGTGTGCTATAATACTGCCATGACTCTCCAGGGAGCCCACTGAAAATATTACCACCACTTATAAATCCACTCTCACAGAAACCAGAATCGGAGCCTGGAACCCTTCACTCTCTTGTCTTGTAAAACTTTGTTGTATACGTTATCTGACTCTGTATACATTGTAGAAATACTGAACATTGAGCACACAGCTTATTATTCCGAACAAATAGGTTTTTTTGTCAAAATATTTGACCAAATAAATATTTATGATTAAATATATTTTCCCAATCATCTGTATGGCATGGTTTAAAAGCTGGTGATATATGTTTGAGTAAAACCCATAAAAGGGACAAACCAACTTACATTCCTCAGTATCTCGTTCATCATACAGTTCTGAAAAAAAAGAAAGATAAATCCTTTAATGTCAAGAACAATTTGAACTTTTGACCAACAAAAAAAGAAAAAAGAAAATTCATGTACTTCAAACACAAGAGGCCCAATGGGCCTGCATCGCTCACCTGGTTTTAAACTCACACTTGTAACCTTAAAAGTGATCTAAAATAAAGCTACAGGCAAAATATCAGTTTTTATGATTAAAATTCGTTCAAAAGACCCTGTTATTTTTTTTTAAAACATTTCACCCCTGCGATTGAAAGTCGAACAAAGTCATTATGTTGAACACATTGTATAGCCTTTCATCTCAGGATGCAACTTGCAAAGTATAAACATCCTGGGACCCATGGTTATTCATAAGAGGTTGTTTAAAGATTTTAAACAAATTTGACCCCTGTGACCTTGAATATAAGTCAAAGTCATTCACTTTAACAAACATAGTAGTCCTTGATCCCAGCATATGCTACTAACTAAATATCAACATCCTGAGCCTTTTGGTTATTCAGAACAAGTTGTTGAAATATTTTAAACATATTTGCTCCTTGTGACCTTGAATATGATTCAAGGTCATACATTTAAACAAACTTGGTAGCCCTTGATCCTAGTATGCTACTGACTAAATATCATCACNTATATTTACAAATCATTCTGAAGTTTTGTAAATCGATTGACCTTTGACCCCTTTGACCCCTTGTAATGACCTTGACAAGTGCATACATAATGGAAGCAGACACAGAAGATGTAATTAAAAATATCTATTAATTCTTCAGCTGAACACCAAGATTGGTTTAGTTTAATTTTGTTAACAGACAAGGCCATTTAAGGACGTGCCTCTATGTGTGTAGTGTATGCGTGCTTGCATGTGTGTATGCAGGAGACAGGGTATTTTGGTGCTTGTCTCCTTGTGATAGCGCGGATCTAATGCCGACTTCATGGTGCTATCTCACTGAATACCATGCTGCAGGCACCCAGAGCAGATTGTTAATTTGTTAAGATGTATCTGAGCTCACCATCAAAATAGTCGTCTTCAGACGCGATGATCTGTGGGGGGGCTCTCTTCTCTTCCTCCTCACCTTCTGGGCTCGGTGTTGTCATCAAAGACGATGATGTTGATTTACTGCAGTGACAATGTTACAAGTTATATTTACCGTATCATTTTATCCATGGACAGTGAAATAGTGAAATGGTTGTCAAGTTATATACAGAGAGTGCTGGTACCCCTGACAGAAGTTACTGCAGATGCATATATACACTTTTATAATTTGTATCACATAAGTTTGGTATATTTTGTGCATATCAGTCAATAGGAAGGATCTGGGAGTAATAACTTGATCAGCTCATCACAATCAAGTACAATCATGATCAATCATTCAAGAATTTGCTGAAAAGTTGTCTGCACCCAAAAGAGCCTAGGATAGCAGGGTCAAGAGGTAGCATTCCGGTGCCTGGCAGACCAATAATAATATTTGACTAAATCTAAATTTACTAACACCATGTTTTGATGTCTCTTTGAGGTGTTTGCACAGAAGCTCCCTCTCATGGCTTCCCAAGAGGACATTTTTGAGGAGGGGGGTTGAGGACCTTTGAAGAGCTCAAGAGACTGGTTCTTCAATGACCCTGAAGTGTTATCATTTTCAGTGGCTTAACTTTAAGTAACTCACTCTGGGCTTGTTTTTGGAGTAGACTTGAAGTCCTCAGCATCAAAGAAGTCTTCGTCCTCACTGCTGGAGTAGGATGTCTCAGGGACAGTTGTACTGCTACGGTCCTCATCTCCTACAAACAAAGCATAGCCTTACTGTAATACAAAACTACCACCTAAACTATACACATAGCATAGCCTTACTGTTATACAAAACTACCACCTAAACTATACACATAGCCTTACTGTAATACAAAACTACCTCCTAAACTATACACATAGCCTTACTGTAAAACAAAACTACCACCTAAACTATACACATAGCATAGCCTTACTGTCATACAAAACTACCTCCTAAAATATATACATGGCATAGCCTTACTGTAAAACAAAACTACCTCCTAAACTATACACATAGCATAGCCTTACTGTCATACAAAACTACCACCTAAACTATACACATAGCCTTACTGTAATACAAAACTACCTCCTAAAATATAAATATAGCATAGCCTTACTGTAATACAAAACTACCAACTAAAATATATACATGGCATAGCCTTACTGTAATACAAAACTACCTCCTAAAATATACACATAGCATTGCCTTACTGTAATACAAAACTACCTCCTAAAATATACATATAGCATAGCCTTACTGTAATACAAAACTACCAACTAAAATATATACATGGCATAGCCTTACTGTAATACAAAACTACCTCCTAAACTATACACATAGCATAGCCTTACTGTAATACAAAACTACCTCCTAAAATATAAATATAGCATAGCCTTACTGTAATACAAAACTACCACCTAAAATATATACATGGCATGGCCTTATTGTAATACAAAACTACCTCCTAAACTATACATATAGCATAGCCTTACTGTAATACAAAACTACCACCTAAACTATACATATAGCATAGCCTTACTGTAATACAAAACTACATCCTAAACTATACATATAGCATAGCCTTACTGTAATACAAAACTACCTCCTAAACTATACACATAGCATAGCCTTACTGTAATACAAAACTACCACCTAAAACATAAACATAAAGATAAACTATCACATAACTTAACCCTGACACCCCTATGTTAACTTTAGTAAACTCTACCATGTATTGATCTGGATGAGTCCATTATGGTTTACAGTGGTGAAATGGTTAAGCATAGTCCTTTTTCCTTCTATACCTTATTTTACACGTCTTTTACCTTATATACACATTGTAAAGTCTTAGACTTAACGCACAGGACAGAGTACGACTGCCTACATATTGTAAGCATTTACAAAAATCTTCATTTAAAGCTTGAAAGGTAATTGCTGTCATTGCCTTTGATATAAACATTCAATGTCTGATAGAGACTCCACAAATTTAGATCATACCTCCTTATACAATGTCAAAACAAAATTCAGAATCTCACATCCTATCTCCTACTATATAATGTCATACACAATCCAGTAACAGATCTCCTTAATTATAGGACACACAGAAATGAGAATGAAAAGCTTTATACCTATCTCCTTATAGAATTATCAATGAACTTATGTCCTTTACCCTATCTTCTTATAGAATTATCAATGAACTTATGCCCTTTACCTTATCTCCTTATAGAATTATCAATGATCTTATGTCCTTGACCCTATCTCCTTATAGAATTATCAATGATCCTATGCCCTTTACCCTATCTCCTTATAGAATTATCAATGAACTTATGCCCTGAACAAATTTTGCAGAAATGTATTTTTAAAATTCAAATGATATTTTTTTTCAATATTTCAATGATAAAGCAAGTCCAGGTACAGAGTATGTTCTGTGTCTGTTAACATATTCATGACAATGATTAAGTGACTACTTTCAGCAATTTAACAGCAGTATAAGAATGCCCTAAAACAATGGGAAACTCCTGTGACGTTTACTAATGAACTAATGTAGATGTAACTTTCAAAAGTTATTCCGTCCTCATATGACCTTGGCTGTTCCAAGGACATTAAACCCTATACAAATAAAATAATAAAACATCATTCAATTTTGCCTTTTTGCAAACAACAATTATTAAATCATGGCAAAATAAAACTTGACTAAGTTTATTGGACTGAAAAGTTGTAAATGAAGGTACTGAAACGTCCAATTATTTTTCAAGTGTTTGTTTATCTAAACATGTTGATACATGTGTCCTTGTACTGCTAATGTAATAGGAGTGGGGCAAAGCTTAACCCTGTCATCCCTATGTCACTTTAGTAGACTCTACCATGCATTGATCTGGATGTGTTCATTATGAGTTACAGTGGTGAAAGGGTTAAAGAAATGTTAGTACTACCAACAGTATCACAATGTTAGAGGAAACAAAACTAATCTAGAAAGAATAGGTTAAACTAAAACACTTTGATTAGTATCAAGTAAATCATTCAACCAGTAAACTAAACTCTTCTTGCAATAAACTTCCAAATACAGTTTGAAAAAATCTTGATTCATGGTTTTTTTTTAAATACACATTTCGATGTTTCTGAGTTCAAATGAGTCTACTGCCAACACCTTAGCTTGAAGGGCAAAACACTCAAAATAGACTGAGTGTACAGGGCAAGGTGGGGGTATTAGCAATATTTTGGCTCACAGAAATGGAAAGACAATGTCTCAAAATAAGACGGAAATGGGAATGTCAGGAATGGTGTTATTGGAGGCAGAGAATACCACCACTTTTCTACTGAATACAGACTTGGAAAGTTATTTTCCTGAACGAACCAAGGCTGCTGGGACTCTCTACCTTAAACATAACACTCAATTAAAAATGAAGTCGAAAGATTGGTAAGGACGTCAACTGTACAAAAATAACACAGGTAAGATTGGAAAATATCAATAACAGAAGCTGATGTGAAAAACATAATCAAGACAACTATAATCAACACTTTTTACAAGCATTTAGGGAAATATTCCTAATGCAGAGGCCTTGACAAGCTAATCAAGTTGATGTAAAACCATCCATAGAGTTATCATGCCCACTCCTAACTAAAACTGTCATTCCGTTGTCATTCCTCTAACGATACCTGTAATTCTGCTAACTGTACTCATAACACTAACAAGACTTGTCATTCTGCAAATTATAACTTTCATACCACTAACTGTAACTGTCATACCACTAACTACAACGGTCATACCACTAACTTTAACTGTCATACCACTAACTGTAACTGTCATACCACTAACTATAACTGTCATACCACTAACTGTAACTGTCATACCACTAACTGTAACTGTCATACCACTAACTACAACGGTCATACCACTAACTGTAACTGTCATACCACTAACTACAACTGTCATACCACTAACTACAACTGTCATACCACTAACTATAACTGCCATACCACTAACTACAATTGTCATACCACTAACTATAACTGTCATACCACTAACTATAACTGTCATACCACTAACAGTAACTGCCATACCACTTACTACAACTGTCATACCACTATCTATAACTGTCATACCACTAACTACAACGGTCATACCACTAACTTTAACTGTCATACCACTAACTGTAACTGCCATACCACTAACTACAACTGTCATACCACTAACTATAACTGTCATTTCACTAACTATAACTGTCATACCACAAACTGTATCTGTCATTCTGCTTACTGTTACTGTCATAACATTCATTATAACTGCCGTTTTTCTAACTATAACTATCATTCAACTAACAATGCCTGACATTCTGCTAACTATAACTGTCATTCTGATTACTATATAACTGTCATTCTGCTTACTATAACTGTCATTCTGCTTACTATAACTGTCATTCTGCTAACTATAACTGCCATTCTGCTAACTATAACTGTCATTCTGCTTACTATAACTGTCATTCTGCTAACTATAACTGTCTTTCTGCTTACTTTAACTGTCATTCTGCTTACTATAACTGTCATTCTGCTAACTATAACTGTCATTCTGCTTACTATATAACTGTCATTTTGCTTACTATAACTGTCATTCTGCTAACTATATAACTGTCATTTTGCTTACTATACCTATCATTCTGCTTACTATACAAGAGGCCCAATGGGCCTGCATCGCTCACCTGTTATTAATCTAACACTTGTAATCTTAAGATTTCATAAGAACCTATTAAAAGATTTAAACATATGACGCCTCTGACCTTGATTGTCGAACAAGGACATTAGGTTGAAAGTGGATCAAGGTCATTCATTTGAACTAACATGGTAATCCTTCATCCCAGCATGCTACAGGCCCAAT